TGTGTTTTCCTTGTGGAACATGTGGTACATTCAGGAGGGAATAGGGTCTTTAAATTCTTCTCCTGTTGGGGGTGCTGCTATATTATCACTGCCAGTGGATCATCCAGGTTCAGAGAGTTACACTTAATAATACCTAAAGTTGGCCAGACATGGTGGCTCATGCCTATAATCCCAGCACTTTGGGAGGTCAAGGTGGGCAGATCACCAGAGGTCGGGAGTTTGAGACCAGCTTGACCAACATGGAGAAACCCCATCTCTACTGAAAATATAAAATTAGCTGGGCATGGTGGTACATGCCTGTAATCCCAGCTACTCAGGAGGCTGAGGCAGGAAAATCACTTGAACCCAGGAGGCGGAGGTTGCGGTGAGCCAAGATCGTGCCATTGCACTCCAGCCTGGGGAACAAGAGTGAAACTTCATCTCAAAAATAAATAAATAAATAAAAAATAAAAAAAAGAGAAAAGAAAAAAGGAAAAAAAAAAACACCTAAAGGCCTTTCATTTGGAAATTAAAGTCAATAAAAATATTAGTCTAGAATGACTGAAGCCATAGGATGAAATGAGTTTACTTAGTCTAAAGATAAAGAAACACAGAATAGCTACAAGTAAAAGAGTATGGAGTCCTCACTCTCAATCCATCTTTGCTGAGAATGTAGTAAAACTCTCCAAGCTGTGTGAAAGGCTAGTGCAAGACCCTGTCCTTGGATAGGTCAGAACTTCCTCATTAAATTCTAACCCTTGTCTGCATCCAGTCCATAGTCCTATTGTCTGCACTGATAGTAGATGACAACTGCAGATAATCTTAGTCTTTTCATCTGTCATTGCTCAAAATTCCTGTGTCAGAAGCCAGTCCTCATCAACATGTCTGAGCCTTAATAACACTTGATTTCCATAATGCTGAAATTTCAGAACCCTCGTCCTCCTTAAATGTACTCTTCAAAATGTCATGTCTTCTTCCTACTCTTGGGAAATGTCCCACACCCCTACCCATGTATCTCTCTGTGCACTCTAAGCTGTGCATGCTTTTTTCCCCATGTGGTGAGAATGAGAAGGATTTTACATTCTCTGGATTTGGGGTGTGGAAAGAGCAACTCTTTAGTTAAATTTGGCCTGCAAAATGCTCTCCAGATTTGGAGGAATCAAACACTACCCCTGCTGCCTTAAGGATTAATTCCCTTTTTTTTTTTTTTTTTTCTGGTGACTATAGATGCACACCTCTAGGAGCTGGCTTACTTGGACAGTTAATTTCTGTCTGGAATTTCCCTTGCTTGAATGTCCATGATACACTGACTTCTGCAAAGGATGTTGTTCAATATGTTGTCTCCACTATTGGGGAGGTCACAGCAAATGCCTGTTCTGCCCGTGACCTGGTGACAAGACTTCGCCTTGTACTCTCTTGTTTATGTTTCTTCACTTGCCTCCTATCATTGGGCATCCTGCTTTTGGGTCCTACCTTCATTTCTCTACTCTAGTCTCTAACTTTTCCAGGCTTGGACTTGGATGGAGCTGGCTCTGATAACTATTTGCTCTGTGACTTTGGGAAAGTTACTCAACATCTCTGAGCTTCAGTTTCTTTGCTATGAAACTGTAATAATAATACAAAACTCATAAAACTATTATAAAAATGAATGAGACTCTAAAATCCAGTACCTGGAGTGTAGTGCCTTCTCTATAGATTTTCACTGTGAGTGTTATTATTCCACTCCATCATAACTTAAAAAAATAAATACTTCTAAGGAAAAGAAAAAAAATCCAACATAAGTATAACTTGCACTGAGCTGGGCAATGCTTTCGCTGGGTACCTAGCAATAGATTCTCCCCCTGATTTCTAGGTCTCTATCCTCCTTCAGTTTTCAGCAGTGGCTTCCATTTGCAGTGGGTTCCCAAAGCAACTCATGGCAAAAAGCTTCACCAGGAGATGGTTTTTCTGGTGTTTCTGTCCTCTTTTAATGTCTCCTAGGAACGTTAGTAACCCTTAGCGTTACTCTCTCAATCACCTCTAGAGAGGCAGTTCTCAAAATGGGGTCAAAATATCACCTGCAGCAGACCTATCGGAGCACCCTGTGATGCCCAAGAGTACAGAATACTTCCTCATCACCTTTCCTCATCCCTTCCTCATCATCCCTTCCTCATCACCCCCCTACTAAATCAGAATATCTGAAAATCTTTGGCTAATATACCCCCAGGTAAAGGCTGCTGGATAAAATATAGCATGTCTGGTCAAATTTAAATTTCAGATGGTGTTTGGGACACACTTATACCAAAATATTTTATTTTTTATCTGAAATTTAAATTTCACTGGGCACTCTGTGTTTTTATTTGCTAAATATGACAACTCTACCAGGCTGCACACTAAAGTTTAAGAAACTGTTCCAAGGCGATGCTCACAGCATAGTCCCCACTGAGCCCTGCATAGAGGGCTGCACTGAGTATTGTTTTTTAAAGAAAGGCATTTAGTGTCTTGTTGAGTGGCACAGTGTCATAGCCCTTATGACTCCCCATTCTCTTTACTGTGACCCTGCTGCCAGTGTTCAGGATGAGATCTCCAAGCGCCATAATTTGTGTTCCCAGGATTGAGTGACTTTCAAGGAGGATGATCCAGGCATTCCTTGTCTCCCACCAGCCAGGCCATGGAAAACCCCCAGGTGATCAGGGATGAATCATGTGGGAGCCTTGGAGACTCCCTTCATCCATGTAGCACAGGGCTTACGCCTCAGCAGCCTGTTCCTTAATTTCTGTTCTCCAGGTAGACATGGGCATATTGGCTTTGGACAGCCACTCAGGCTGAGAGAGGTCAGATGCACGTGGGCACATAGGAAGTAGTCTCATGGCTTGATCGATTGGCCCTTCGTTCCTCCCACTAATAGCATCACTGCAGCGCAGCAGCCTGATAGGTCCCCTGATTTTTCTCAGAGTTCTTTCTCCCTGATGGTAAAGAGAGGGCTTGGGATTCTTAAGATGTGAGAGTACTGAGAGAACTCAGATGTGATTCAGGAAAGCAGAAATAGAAACTTTCATAGAATAGCCAACATGTTATTTACTATGTTGCCTGTAGTTGAGGTTGCAAATTCAAATACTGCAGAGACTAGGCAGGCATCATAAATGAGTGAAACAGGAAGGGTGAGGACTGTGGAAAAAAGATCCACAGTCCAAGAAGGTAGGCCCTTCTTATCTTCAGCTGACCCGTAGCTACCTCACAGGAATTTGGGCTCAGAAAAGCTGAAAGTCTGAATTTTTTTATTAAGTCTCTTGGTTTGAACATGTTGGAAACAAAAAAATGTGAACATTGGGTAGGCCAAAAAAAAAAAAAAAAAAAATCTGTATACAGTCTTAGACCTTTAGGAAGTCAGTTTTTTACTCTGTCTTAAGACTATATTGCATAGGGATGAACATATTGTAGGTACTTCGTTGAATTTATAAAGATAACCTCATTGTGTTCAGTTTGATCAGAATTAGATCCCCAAACTCATATGGTCCAACAGAGAGAAGTCAGATTTTATATGAACACATAAAATACATGAAATTATTTAGATAGTAAGACCTATAAAGAAATATCAAGGTGAATTAATAGTCTATTCAGGACAAGAGCACTTCGAAGAGATTAGAGCTTTGTTTGAAATCAGTCACTTTGTCTTGGAACTAAGTCATGACTGGTCCAATCATGTGACCTTCAGCCCGTAGACAAATCATTGATTTGTTCAAAGATCCAGAGAGAACACATTGTGTGGGCTTGATTTCAAGGTATACCTTTGCCTTGGAGAGCTACCATATACTCTTGCATTCACCAAAGAGTAGAATCTTAGATGTCATAAGTAAACTCACTGTGGGAACATAGAAGGAGGCTTGAACATGAGAAACCAGTTATTAAGATGGGCAAATTGCAGTCTAGTTGAGCTGGCTGAAGGAAGAAGAATGACAATATTTTTATTAGTTCATTCTCGCATTGCTATGAAGAAATACCTGAGGCTGGGTAACTTATAAAGAAAAGAGATTTAATTGGCTCATGGTTCTGCAGGCTATACAGGAAACATGGAAGCATCAATTTCTGGGGAGGTCTCAGGTCTCAGGGAGCCTTTACTCACAGCAGAAGGCAAAGCAGGAGCAGGCACCTTACATGGCAGGAACAGAAGCAAGACAAGGTGGGGGCCACAAGGTGCTGTACACTTCTAAACTACCAGATCTCACGAGAACTCACTATGGTGAGAATAGTACCACGGGGAACAGTGCTAAACCATTCACGAGAAACTGACCCCATGATCCAATCACCTCCCACCAGGCCCTACCTCCAATACTGAGGATTACAATTCAACGTGAAATATAGGCAGGGGGACAGATCCAAACCATATCAATATTTTTGTTCCCAAAAGGAAAAAAAGAATAAATGAGTCTATAATAGAGTTTTAATGTACTTTGGCAGAAAGTGAATATAAAAGTGGGATGAGCACAAACAAGAGTCTTTCTTTCCAGCAACCTTATCATACATGGGGTAACTATTTTTTAACTCTCCCTAATTTCTGTAGGGGAACAGAGTGTGGGGTGCTGGCTATGGCTACTTTTTCCATCTCGTGACCAACCAAACATCACAAGCTCCACTTCTTTCCTTCACTCAGAACATTGCACATTCTTGTACCAGGTAACTTTGGGGATATTCATCTACATTTTGGCTGTAAGTCTTATGATTTCACATTTTTCTGTAGAATGCTCACAATGAGAGCACTTTTGGCATTTGTTCAAGATTTGGTGATGTTCCTGTGTATTTTCTGAAACTGCTTTTATGAGGTATAATTGACATACAAAAAGCTGTTCATATTTAATGTATACAACTTGATGAGTTTGGAGATAAGTGTACACCCCTGAAACCATCATCACCATCTATGCCACAAACATCTATCACCTCTGTCCTCCAGCCCTCTTCATTTGAATTACTATTATTACTGTAAGAACATTTGACACAAAATCTGACCTCTTAGCAAAATTTTAAATATAGAATACAGTATTGTTAATTTTGCTGTATTGTATACTTTGGCATTTTGCTGTACAGTATATCTCTAGGACTTATTCATTTTGCATAGTTGAAACTTTGTACCCTTTGACTAATACTTCCCATTTTCCCCTCCTCCCAGCCTCTGCCAACCACCATTCTACTCTCTGCTTCTATAAGTTTGAATATTTTAGATTTCTCATTTAAGTGATATGATGTACTATTGCTCTTCTGTGTCTGGCTTACCTCATCCAGCACAGTGTCCCCCAGGTTTATCTGCATTGTCACAAATGGCAGGATTTCCTTCTCTTTAAAGGCTGAATAATATTCCATTGCAAGTATATACCACATTTTCCCCAGCCGTTAACCTATTGATGGACATCTTGGCTGCCTCCATGTCTTGGCTTTTGTATGTAATTGTGTTAGCATTATTTTCTAGCTCATAACAGTTTTGATGGTAAAGAGAAGAGAGTCACATGAAAAGGCAGAAGGACAGAATGTACCTTTTGTGGCCAGAGAGAATTCAATGGAGAGAGCAATTAAATGTCCAAAAATAGGCAGAGCCCGTGGGAGGCTGGTGGACTTGGGCTCTGGAGTAATCTGCATTTTGTTGGGATTTGGGTGTAGGTCACAGAGGGTAAAAGTGGGAGGGCTAAGGCATGGGCAAGAACAGTCAGGGGGAGGGTCACAGATTCTATGTACCTTCACTCTCCCTAATACATTACTTTTACTTTGTATTTTTCAACAAGAAAAAGTAGGAAGTTAGAAACATAAAAATTGGCTTAATTTCATTCTTTGTTTCACTTTTTAGGTATGGTCTCTTTGTATACCCTAAATTTCAGCCACCTTGGGATAATGTCACTGGCATCACCCTGTTCCAGAGCTTCACAGTTTGGGAAAGTGCAGGTGGTGCCCAGGTAAGTTATTTTGTTGTTGTTATTGTTGCTGTTTTTTAAATTAAAACTGTCACTTGTTTTCTCACAGCAATTCATTATGCATATCTACTTAAATGGGAATGACTTGCCCTTGAGGGGAGCATTGCTGTGCTATCACAATTTTGAAGCACCAATGGATCATAGGTGCTTGTAGAATAGTTGTTAAACAAATTCCTAGTCACTAATCCAGGGTTAGGTCACTTTCTCCATTGTGTGTTTTTTGGAAACACTAGTAGAGAACAACAGAATTATAGAGATTTATAATCAGGAGAGATCATAGAGGTTACCTATTCCTTCCTTCCATCCCTACTTAGAGATAGAAATTAAGGCTAAGAAAGGGAAGCGACTTGTCAAAGGTCACACAATTGGTTAGTAGTACAACCAAGTGCAGAATTTAGACTCCAGAAGTTGTGCATTTGATGTCCCAATATCCTGAAGAATACATGCCCCAGTCTTAAGAGAAAGCACTGTTTGTCATTAGAACACAAACATTCTAGCTCAAGATACCATTCTTACTTTAGTCAATAAGCTAAATTTTCTTCTATTTTTTTCTTAAAGGAAAAGAAAAGGTTCAATCATTTACTCTTCATTTTCCCAGTGATTTTCTTATAAGGAAGCTTTGCATGCTCACCATTAACAGCAACATATAAAAATTATTCAGGGCCACTATTTGATGCAATACAGACAAAATTACATACACTTTGTCTCTGCCTAGAAATCTGGAGCATAAGATATATAGATGAAGAAATATGTTCGTAGAGCTTCCAGGAAATAGAATACAAACATATAATAATGTCACAATAAGGAAGTCAAACATTTATTTCATATATGCAACAAAAGAAAAATAATTGTGGATAAAGAAAGCCCAAAAATATATAATTAGGATAGCTAACAGGTGGAGTCCAAAATGTATTTAGTATTTTGTTCTCAATTAATTTTATAAAATGCTTCCCATGAGCACTATAAATATTGTAGGGGTAACAAACCTAGTGGAAACATTTGTTGAGTGCCTTCTTATGCAGTGAAATAATTTATACCTGCAGGGGCTTAAACTCTGTCTCCCTGCTCTTGAATAGCCTTGTCCTAGAGGGAATAATCTAGTAAAATGAAAATACTAAAAGATGCTATTAAAGCCATTTTTTGAAGTTCTGCAATCAGAAATGCTAAACCTGTGAAGGAAAAAAAATACAGAATTACAGCTTGAACTGTTGTGCACTCAAATTTGATCAATCAAGAAGTTTAAATAATAAAAAATATTCTTGGAATTGCACTTTTATAGTGAAGAATAAGGCAGAAATTAAATAACATAATAGCAGCAAATTTAAAAAGTAAACTTCCCTTGAACTATACCAAAAAAGAAGAATGAAGTAAGAAGATTTATCCTCTATTTTAAAACTTGCTACAAAGCAACAATAATCAAGACAGTGTGGTATATGGGCCCAAAGACAGACATAGATGTCAATGAAATAGAAGTGAGAGTCCGGAGATAAACCCATACATCTATAAACATGATTTTTGACAAAGGACGCCAAGACCATTCAATGTGGGAAATATAGTCTTTTCAACAAATGGTGCTTGTACAACTAGATAGTCACACACAAAAGAATTAAGTTGTATCCTACCTCATACTACTTACAAAAATTAAAATGGGTCATTATGTATTAATAATAAATAAAATTAGCAAAAAATTGGTCAAAGACATAAACATAAGCACAACTCTATCTCCCAGACCAGTGGTGCCTTAGTCCCTTTGGCTGCTGTAACAGAATAATAATATTTGGGTAAATTATAATAAACAGAAATTTATTAACTCATGATTCTGGAGGCTTGGAAATCCAAGATTGAGAGGCCAGCATCTGCTGAGGACCTTCTTGCTGCATCAGTCTATAGCAGAAAGGCAAAGAAGGCAAAGAAGGAGCAAGTGATAGAACTCACAGCCCCAAGTTTTTTTGTAATCAGCACCAATCCATTCATGACCTACACACCTCCTAACACTTACATCAGGGATTAAGTTTCCAAAACATGCTTTTTGGGGGACAGGCTTAAACCATAGCAAGTAGGGAGCTTACAACTCTACCAACCTAATTTTGTTATTACATGACCCCTGTTTGGGTTATCATAAACAATGTACATAACTGTGAATCTGTAGTCATGCTGAGCTACTTATTTCATATTTGCAATCTTCTGACAATATGGGTTAATATATAATACACTGAAGAAAATGTTAAGCACTAGAGTTCTTGGGTGCGATGTTTTTCTCTGTTACCTTTGTGTGATTTGGCCACTCCAAGTTTATTTTAGATATGTGGAGAATTCACATTTATCTTTTTAATGTATTGGTTATTATGAGGAAAAATGAAAAGTGCGAAGAGGTGTTACCAAAGGAGACTCATTAGTGCTGACCTCACAGCAACTTTAGGATACCTGTACTGACATTGATGGACAAAAGGTGCTTTAATGCAACATAGCATGCTTCTTTATACTTAATCAATAATTTTAAAAACTACAGGAAGTCTGCAAGAAAAACCAAGCCTCAGACCTTTGCTGTAACATGCTGTATTTTATAGATTTTTAGAAGTAGCAATCTTCGCCTGAAAAACTTCCAAGTTTATTCGTGCAGAGATTTTGGAATTGACATCTTGGAAAGTGATGCAAATACTTCAGTTACTGACAGCTTATTACTTGGTCATTTTGCCCACAAGGTAAGTGCCTCGGTGTGGTTGTTTTAGGCTGTCCGTCACAACAAAATTACATGTGCTGGGCCTTCTGATGATCCAGGATGTGCAATTCTAATAGCATTCTTTGGTGAATCTCGTATTTCATTGGTAAAAGTTAAAGGAGCTTTTTATTTGTAATAGTGGTGATATTGACAATAGAACTCATATATACACAGGGCTTCAATGTTATGAGTACATATAAATCACAAAAGTCATGAGTAGCTTATAGAATTTTATTTGTTTGCAATTTAGAGTTATTACTCATACAGAAAGAGGTCAAATCATGAAATACAGATTTGCCTAGTTCATTATTTTGTATGTGATTCACTAATATGTGCCTACGTATGGATTTCTACATAATAAAAATCAGACTCTAGATGACTTCTCAGGGTACAAGAATGCAGATGGGGCAAAGAGTACTTCCAGGTAGGAAGCACTAGTTCCTCGGGGAGGTTCATGGCTGCCATTGGTCTCTTAGGCTTCAGATCTATAATGGATCCTCTATGTTCTTGTTTTCATTAGAGCTACATTCATACTAGTCATCACATCATTATGAAAATCATAGATTTCTTGGGAGCCAAGGAAAGAATATTCTCTTCAGTTTGTTCCTGAGTGCTTAATTCAATTGAAATTTCAATAAGTTTTGATTCTTACACTTCTAATGAAGATTATTTATTTCATAGCTATAGATAAAAATGTGAAGATTTTAAAAGTCATTTTCTTATAGAGCTACATTTTCTTGGATTTAACTCTCAACTTTTCTTAGTAAAATCTCCTTTGAACTATCCTTTTCAGGAGACAAATACCTGGCAGGGTTTTTGTTTTTGTTTTGTTTTTCCTCTAAAAGGATGACCACCTTGAGAGAGGATTCTTCTTTTCAGACTGTGTAGTTTTCAAGAGAGGATGGTACCCAGATTTAGATTCTGTGATGCTGTGGTACATCAGAGGTTCTTAACTTTTCCAGAAATAACCTTAGAGTAGATGTGAAAAACAAAATTCCCAGCAAACTGAGCAACTGTCTTGGTAAATTAATGTTGCAGTATCTTAATTGATGTTAAATAGACACCATAATTAATGAGAAAGTGACATAAATTAAGATACAAATTATGACAAAAGGGTGCCTATCATGAGATAATCAAAAATAATCACACCCTTGGGGTGTGATTCACTGGGAAAGTAGTACAGCTGAAGGCCTTTCAGGCTCTTAAGTAAGTACAGGACAAGAGTCCCCTGATGGAAAATGTTAAACAGTTTTGTTCTAGGGAATGTCTAGATGCTGGTTAGTTATCCAAATCATAAAACCACATAATTAAAGAGCCAACTATTACCTAAGAGATGATCTGGTTAAACTTCTTGAATTTAGGGGAAAATGGAGGCTTGGGAAGTTGAATGGCAGTTTAAGATTCATGCCTAGTATTGTGGAGCTAGGACCACCCTGATACCCTCCCACTCCTGGTCAAATATTCTTCAACTGCACATGGAAAATGGCTTTGGCAAAGGACATTTATTAGTGCCCATACCAATGTTCCCTGAAGTGTTATTCATGAAAGACTAGCCCTTGGATAGTGTCTGGAAAAAGAAAATTCTTTGGTTACAATTACATTTATGCTGTGCTGGTTACCGTACCCTCTATTTCCCAAAATCTCAAACAAGTCCAGAGATGTAATGTACAGCATAAGCATTAGAGATAATAAAATTGTATTGTGTCAGGGAATTTTGTTAAATAAGTGGATTTTAGCTGCTCTTGTCACAGAAAAGTAACTATGTGAAATGACAGATATGTTAATTTGCTTCACTATAACCTGTGTGTACCCTGTAATATCATGTTGTAAACCTCAAATATACAGAATAAAATTCATTGAAAAAATATACTAAAGGCTATGAGAAATTCTAGCATTAAAGTGAATAAGCAAAAAACATCTATTATCTTTACTTAGCACAGTATTTTTCAGATTTATTTGGGAACCACTGTGTTGCCAGGTGTCAGTTCAAAAAAAAAAAAAAAAAAAAAAGAAAAAAAAAAAAAAAAGAAAGAAAAAGAAAAAGAGGGTGCCTGACCTCTGTGGTTATGGGACTCTGATTTTAGCCTCTATCTTTTGTGCCTTCCATTCCTTTAGGAATTAACCCTTTTTTTTGAGACGGAGTCTCTCTGTGTTGCCCAGGCTGGAGTGCAGTGGCGCCATCTCGGCTCACTGCAAGCTCCGCCTCCCGGGTTCACGCCATTCTCTTGCCTCAGTCTCCTGAATAGCTGGGACTACAGGCGCCCGCCACCACGCCTGGCTAATGTTTTGTATTTTTAGTAGAGACAGGGTTTCACCATGTTAGCCAGATTGCTCTCCATCTCGTGACCTCGTGATCCGCCCGCCTGGGCCTTCCAAAGCGCTGGGATTACAGGCATGAGCCACCGCCCCTAGCCAGGAATTAAGACTTTTAAAGAATTTGGCCTGTCCATTGTTAGACTTTCCACTCACATATAACTGGTGGCATACAATTATCAGTGAGTCATATCCTAAAATAAACATTACTTTCTGGAAGAACTTTTTATCATTAGAAGGAATTTTTTTTCCTGTAAGCATACCTGTATATGTGTTGGTACTCTCACAGCCAATGTTACCTTTGTATTGAGATGAATAGAATAATTTTCAGTAAGAATGGCTTAAATATACAAGATAGAGATGTGCTATAGCATGACGGTATATCCTAGTTTGGGTGAGTAGTTTTTTTATACTTATTGTCCCAGCATTCTGTCTAATTAACATACCCTTTCACACTAAAAAAAAAGTCTAATTTTAATTTAAATGAGTCACCCTACTTATCGAAGTATCTGTAGGATGGCTGTCTTGGTTGTTATTGTAATTAATTTGAGCAGATGATGCTACTTTAAAAAATATCTTATTCAGACAGATGCTGATGGAGTTGCTTCATTCTTCCTCCTATTTCTCTAGGGGTGATTTCCCATTTTCACTTGTGGATTTGTCTTCTTCAATTTAGACCTTTCATCTTTTTGTTTCCCTAAATTCTGTTGTAGGGCCCCTTTTCTTCTCAATATACTAGCTCTCCCTGGGAGAAATCTCATTTTCTCTAGTGGTTTCAATTACCTTCCACATGCTGATGTCTCCCATATATTTGCATTTATTTCTACCATCTTATTTTGCGCTTTCAGTTTACAATCCGTTTTTGGTTTCTGTTTTTTTCTTCTTTTCTATTTTGATTTGTCTTGCATACCATCTTTTTATATTTACTCATTTGAAAGTTATCCATTCTGTTATGATTATTTTAGCTGTTGGCTTTAAGTTTTTAATGTGCCTGCTTGTCTTAACAAAGTCTAAATTACATCAGCACTGTTAAACTTTACATAAGCAATACAAGGACATTAAACTCCTTTAGCTTCTTTCCTTACCCTTTCCTCTTCTATGCTACCTTCCTCTAGTGTTTGTCCTACTTTTTAAGGTAAATGTTTCATGGAAATATAACATTTATGGAGAAACGTGCACAAATCACAGGGGAATAGCTCAGTGGATTTTTACAAAGCAAACCAACCATGTATATGTATACAACTGAGAACAAGAAATAGAACTTTGCCAGAGAAAGATCTTGCCTCTAAAAAATAAAAAGTAATAATAAAGAAATGAACGTTATCAGCTCCTCTAAAGCCTCTTCATGTCCTGCCATTCAACCCCACTCCACACTCCCTAGCCAAAGGGCAAGCATTATTCAGCCTTCTATCCATATAGATTAATTTCTCCTGGTTTTGAACTTTGTGTAAATGGAATCATAAAGGATGTAACTCTATTGTACCTGGCTTCTTTGGCACAACGTTATATCTGTGAGATTCGTTCATGTTTCTCTGTGTTACAAGTATTTCTTCTTCCAATCATTGGGTAGTATTCCATTTTATGACTCAACCTCAATTTTTTTAAAGCATATAGCTATTGATGGACATTTGATTGTTTTCATCATTTGTAAATTTGGTTATTTACAAATAATGATGCCATAAGCATTATTCTATATGCCTTCTGGTCTTCATGTGCATGCATTTCTGTTGAATATAAGCCAAGTTGTAAAATTGCTGGATCATCGTGTAGCTTTAGTGGATAATGCCAAGCAACAATCCAGAGTGTGTTTATGCTTGCACCAGCAATGTATAAGAAGGGTTTCAAAGCTCCATCTTGGAATCTCCCTAGAACATTATCCTGGAGATTTCCTTCATGTCTGTCTAGTATTGGAACTCTTGTTTCTGATTTGTACATCTTCCTCCTTTCTGACTTAATTCCTCAATTTGAACATAGCCTAAGGTAACTTTCTGGGAAAAAAAAAAAAAAAAAAAAAAGGAAACGACGGAAGGTAAAAGTTCTGAGCTGTATATAGAGACCCCTTTATTAGCAGATTAGCAGATTGTTGGTTATAGGATACCAGGTCGAAGTTCATTTTTCACTGAAAGTTTGAAGGCAATATTCCATCATCTTGTAGCTCCTTCTGCTCTTGAGGTTGAATAGCTTTAAGATACTCAGATTTAGGGCAGGAGGCAGCAGCTCACGCCTGTAATCCCAACAGTTTGGGAGGCCGAGGTGTGAGGATCACCTGAGGTCAGGAGTTCAAGACCAGCCTGACCAACATGGCGAAACCCTGTCTCTACTAAAAGTACAAAAATTAGCCAGAAGTGGTGGCATGCACCTGTAATCCCAGGTACTCAGGAGGCTGAAGTAGGAGAATCACTTCAACCCAGGAAGTGGAGGTTGCAGTGAGCCAAAATCACGCCACTGCATTCCAGACAGGGCAACAGAGTGAGACTCTGTCTCAAAAAAAAAAAAAAAAAAAAAAAAGATACTCAGATTCCAGGGTTTTTATATGTAACCCTTTATTTATTTTTCTCTCTGAAAGCTCTTAGGAACTTGTCCTTGTCCCTGGTGTTTTGCAATTTCAATATGATGCACTTTGCTGTGGCTCTTTTTCTAAACATTGTGCTAGATACTGAGTGGGACTTTTCAGTCTGGAAAATTATATCCTTTCCTTCTGGACAGTTTTCTTTAATTATTTCTTTGGTAATTCTTTCCCCTATATTTTCTTCTTTTCCTTAAAACTATGATTATTTAAATATTGGGCCTCCTGGAATGTTTTTCTTGTCTTAATGTTCTTACTGATTTTCCATCTCTTTGTCTTTTTGTTCTACTTTCTATGATATTGAGTTTCCTTTTTCTACTCTCCTATTTTTTTTCTAAAAATAATATTTTAGGCTTCTCTTTGTTTCAAGGATATAATATACTTATTTCTCCGAGGCCATTAATTATAGTTTTTGTTTTCTTCTGATTTCTAGACTAGCTTTGTGTCCACTGGGTTTCTTTTCTGCTATTTGTTTATTGTTTCATCATTTTTCATGTTGGGAGCTATTGAAAAAAATTCTGGTAATCCTCAAATGTAAGACTATTTTTAACAATGGAACAGTGAGGCACTAGCAACTTGATTGGATAGTGTTTGTCAAAGAGATTTTGTGGAAAATCATGAAAACACTTATTGTTTCTTTCTTTTCAGACTTTTTGTTAAAGTTTTAAAAATATATTAATATACAGCAAAACTGACTTTTTGATGTACAATTCTATGAGCTTTACCATCACCACAATCAAGACACAGAACAGTTGCATCCATTCCAGTTCCTTGCTCCATCTTTGTAGCCACAGCCTCCTCTTACTTTAAACCACTGGCCATCACTAATGTATTCTCTGTCACTATAGTTTTGCCTTTTCAGCAGTCATATAAATGGAGTCATAGAGTATGTAACCTTTTGAGACTGGCTTCCTTCACTCCTGAATGCCATCGGGATTCATCCAACTTGTTGCATGTATCAATATTACATTCCTTATTATCGACGAATAGTATTCCATTAGATAGATGTAATGCAGTTTGTTTAGCCATTCATTTATTGAGGTGCATTTGGCTTGTATCCAGATTTGGTGATTATAAATGGAACTGTTAAGGACATTTGTGTCAGGTTTTTATATAAATGTAAGTTTTCATTTCTCTAAGGTAAATACCTAGGAGTTGAATTGCTAGGTCATATAAGGGCATATTTAACTTTATAAGAAACTGCCAAACTTTGAGTGGCTGCCTTATTTTGCATTCCACTAGAAACATAGGAGAGTTTTAATTCTTTCTCATCCTCATCAGCACTTACTATTGTCACTGTATTTTAATTTATCCATTCTAATAGGTGCATAGTATATTTCAGTGTGATCTTAATTTGTATTTCCCTAGTGAATAATGATGTTGAATATTTTTTTTCCTGTGCTTATTTACTATCTGTATATTTTCTTTTCTGAGTTATCTTTTGAAGGTTTTTTTTCCCTAATTTTGAATTGCATTGTGTGTTTTCTTACTGTTGAAATCTGAGAATTCTTTCTTTATTCTGGATATAGGTCCTTTGTCATATGTGTGATTGGCAAATATTTTCTCTTAGTCGATAGCTCGCTTTTTTATCTTTGTTTTTATTCATGCATTATGAATTGTATTTCATGTGTCCAGTTTTCTTATTTTGCTTTCATCTTTTTTTCTTTTAAATCACAGGGAAGTCTGTGTATGTCATCTGGGATTAAAACTCCTAAAAGATGGGAACTGATGGTGTCTAACACAACCTTTGTTAATTTTGATCTCATCAACTGTGTGGCCATTAGAACCTGTTCAGACTGTTTCCAAGGACAAGGTAATTATTTGAATAGACAGAACAGATGATAAATAAGGCCAATATTCAAGTCAGTATTATAAATAGTGGCAAATACTTTGTGAATCATTATCTCTTTCAGTTATAAGATTGCATCAGTAGAAACTGTTGCTTAAATTTCCTAAAAGATATCCTGGAGGTTCTCTCAGTGCAGCTTCTGCAGCTCCCTGTCCTCCTCCTATTACGGTGCCTATCACATTCTATCATGATGGTCCTATGTCTCTGCTGCACTCTGACCTTCATAAAGGCAGAGATCATGTCTTTCTTGCTCAGAGTTTTAATTGTTAGTACCTAGCACAGAGCCAGATGCCTAGTAGACAGGCAGTGTATTGATTAAATGAATGAATAGAGTTAGATGGGTAGATAACTGGGTGTAAACTAACATGCATACAACCTTTCCTCAAAAGAGCCAAAGTTCAGGTGCTTAATGTTTTCAACAGTCCAGGACTTGATGTATGCACAAAGGAACCATAGGAGTTCTTGCCCACTTTTTAACCGTATCTCAGAGGTGGTAAGAAATAACTTGGAGGACTCATGGGCCAAGGTGAAAGAGGTAGAGAGTAATCTAGTTGATTTGATCATTGTAAACAGCCAAACCAAGTAATTCAACTAAATATGCTCTTGTGGTTTGAATCACCAATTTA